TTCCCCCCCCCCCCCCCCTATTTGGTTTTCATGGTATAGGTAAAATTATACCAACATTCTCAATAACATGAGACCAAAAAGCAATACTAAGCCTCTGGACCTTAACGGAAGCCTAAGAATCCCATTTTATCTCTAATCTTCATGCTTTCTAGGTTTCATTCTAATTGTGACACTTAACTTTTTTTTTTTTTTTTAAAGTAGAGTCTCTGCTTTCCATGCAGCTTTTAAAGTTTGTACAGTCTCGGCTGTTTCATCTCTGTCACTCCATTGCATGAAGAGATAGTCTGTTCTTTGTTCGCTAATTGTCACTGGAACCACACTGTATGTAAATATTGGATAAGTCTTTGTAAAAATGTAATTTATTTTAATATTTTGCAATAAAATGTTAATTGTACAAGTTTATCTCTATTCATCACTGCAGAGGAAAGAATTGAGAAACTAAGCCTTATTTCCACACTGCCATGCACCTACATTGCTCTTTACGGACAGAGCTGGTCTTGTTCCAAAGAGCTTGAAGCTAAAGGCCTGATGTAGAAAGTTTGTTTTGTGCAGATGCCTGCACCCATGTGAAGCCCCAGTGACATTAGATGAACAAGATCTGGTAGGTACAGCATAGCAAAGTATTAGAGAAAAGGGACTATGGTCAAGTCCTGCAGGAAGAGTTAAATTAGGAGATGATGCTGTTAAGTGTATGCAAAGTTTTGTATTCAAACGTTTTCTCCTTGTGGGGAAGGAGGGACGGTAACTTTTTTGGGTTTTTTTTTAAATATATTAGACTGGAGTATTTAAATGAAGGTTAGGATTAGCAGGCTAACTTGAAAATCTCAAGATGGGATGCTTTTATGTCTGCTTTCTGAATGCCCCATTCTGTACATCAGTGGGGGCCAACCTTTTTGGCAGGTGTGCCACAAGTTAGCCCTGCACTCCTCCGAAGTGCCACTCAGATCCCCTTCTCCTGTCCAATCTATTATTCCACTTTCTGTTTCCTGCCCTGTTTGCTGTGCTGCCTGTCCCCTCCCTGATCTGCAGCTATGATGGGTGGCCACATACAGAAGATGCCTGTGCCACTTGTAATATGTGCACGACACATTGGCCACCCCTGTTGGATGTGCTTAAAGGTCTAAAAGGGAGGCAGATCTTTTCTATGCGTGTAGATGCCCACAAACACACACACGCATACATGCATTAATACAATTACATAACAATCTTGCGTTACCCCTCTAATGATCTTTGGTGGTTAAGCAAATACTTTTTTCTCTGGCAGCTTGACTATTTGCTGAGAGTCAGCCATGCCCACAGAAGTTAGTGGGTGACTACATAATGCTTAGCACTCCTGGAAACAACATACCCTAGTCAGCTCCTACTCTCCACCTGTACCTGGGAGCTGAACAGCTCTGGAACTGGGGAGGGGGACACACGGGGCGCAGGGGCAGTAGCACCAGGACTGGTGGGGAGACACCATGGTAAGACACGTTTTCCTCCCGCGTCCTGGCATTGCTCAGCCCCCAGCACCCCCCAGACATGGGTGGGGAGTGGGAGCCAACTGGGTCATGTGTTGCATCTTCAGTGGCAGGGCTGAGGGGACAAGGGCGCTCTTGCAGCTTGGTGCTGCAGGG